TCAGATATGGAGCTCGGAGATCGCAGAGGACGGGTGAACCCGTCCGAGCATAAGGACGGTTCGACCAAAAAGAATGTTTTCGACCGGCTCTGAAAGGATGTTGACCTTGGTTGATCAGTCCTTGGTTTTGATGATTAACAAACCAAAATGTAGATTTGGGCTAATATTTTTATGTGAGCAATTTGTTAGAACAGATTCTTGTGGCACAAAAGAAGAAGCAAAAACAGGGTACTCATGTGGGACGTCCAAAAGGAAGCTATCGGACATCCGAAAGGATGAAGAACATCAAGAAGGAAACTCTGTCGGACGCTCGTGAGGAAGCATCGGACGTCCGGAAGGATCGGACGCACGCCTCGGACGCACATCGATTTCATCGGACGTCCTAAAAATTCCACGAAGATTTGATAACTCTCTGGACAACGTTCGGACGCAGGGTTCGGACTTCCGACAGGTGGTTTGGACGCAGGGTTCGGACGCCCGACAGGTGGTTCGGACGTCCGACAGGCCAACGGCTAGTTTTGACAGCATTTAATATTTGACCGTTGGAGAGTCTTTTGGAGCCATTTCTCACCTTCTATAAACATCCCAAAGCACAAGAAGTAAAAGGACTTTTGCCAACACAAAATACAAGCTTACAAGTGAGATTTTTGAGTAGAAAGATTCTTTGTTGGTTGTATAAGGGGTTGGGAAAGTTGGGTTGTGAGGTTGCTCAAGTGAAGGTTACTCTCTAGGAGAAATAAAACCTTGGTGAAGGTGAACCTATCACTTGAAGTGGTAAAACCTTGGTGAAGGTTGCCTCATTTGTATAAAATAGTTCTTAATTGGGTGTGTGATCTTTCAAGTGTAGGTTGTTGAGGGTTAACTAGAATAGTTGTAAAACTCCTTAGCTCAACCAAAGTGTGTTTGGGGTGAGGAAGGAGTGAGCCTTCACATGTACATCTTGGTTAGCATCGTCATCTATTGAAGAGGCTATTGGATTGATATTTGGTTTGCATTTCTTATCTTTTCTCTTTAATTAAGTTTTCTTTATTGTGCTTAAATTTGATATATCTTTGTGCATCATTGTGAAATTGTTTGTACTCTTTGGGTTGCACCGGACACTTACAATTGGTATCAGAGCTTGGTCTCCTTGAGACGAAGCTCAATCGGCTTGGAGTAAAGATCATGGCAACCATAAAAGTTTCCTTTTTAGAAGGGCAATCTATTGATAGACCACCTATGTTTAATGGTTCTCATTTTAGCATGTGGAAACAAAGAATGATGATTTTCTTACAATCTGTTTATATTGAATTATGGTATGTGGTAGAAGATGGTCCTTATGAAGCTAGAATAGTTGACTCTACCACCAATTTGAGTAGATTAAAGACTAGACAAGAATTGAATGAAAAAGACAAGAGATACCTTTCTTTGAATGCCAAGGCCATGTGTATATTGTACAATGCATTAGATGTAAATGAATCTAGTAGGATTAAAGGTTGTAAATCAGCTAAAGATATTTGGGATAAATTGTGTGTATTTCATGAAGGTAACCAAGATATTAAAGAACAAAAGAAATCTTTGCTTGTTTCTCAATATGAATTTTTCAAAATGCATCCTCTTGAAAATGTTGATAAGATGTGTAGTAGATTTTGTGACATTATTCAAGATCTTAAATTGCTTGGAAAAGAATATTCTTTGGGTGAGAAAAATAGAAAGATTTTGAATGCCTTGCCAAAAGAATGGGAAAACAAAATAAATGCTATAGAAGAGGCAAAGGATTTAAATTCTATGTCCATTGAATCTCTTGTGGATACCCTAACCTCTTATGAATTAAAGCTGAAATTCAAAGTGCAAGAGGAAGAAAATGCAAGAATGTATAAGAGAGGCATAGCTTTTAAAGCATCTCAAGTGGGGGATAACCCATCCTTCATGGGTAATGAAATCATGGAAGTGGACAATGATATAACTCCTCACATCAAAAGTTTCAAGAAGATCTTCAACAAGAGATGTTCAAGAGGAGATTGCAAAATTACATGGGATGAATGCAATTCAAAAAGAGAAAAAGAAGAGTTGGCCCAAATGGCACTAATGGCCGTTGGAGAAGATGAGGTAAGTTCTTATCACTCTTCTTGTGATGAAGATAATGAAGATGATGATGTGTATATTCTTATGATTAAAATGCATAAAAGTTTGAGGGAATCTTATGCTAAAAATAAAGATTTGAAAACAAAAATAAATGATTTGTTGGAAGAAAACTCCAAACTTTTTCAAGAAAACAAATGTTTGAGAATGGAAAATGATGATTTAAAAAAACAAAAAAATGTTTTTGATTGCAAAAATAATTTGAAAAGGAAGTTGGAATAGAAAACAAAGTTTTATGAAAAAATGTTGGAGGAACAAAATGTGTTAAAGAAAAGAATTAATGACTTGAACGAGTTTCTCCAAAATGAAAAACAAACGTTTTCTCAAACAAAAGAAAGCAAATCTTTTCAAGGTACAAATAAGTTTGCTATGATAAGAAGTAAGAAAATTAGTTGCATTAAATCCACCTATGTGCAAAATACTTCTATCATGTGTCACTTTTGTTGCCAATTTGGACATATGCAAAATGATTGCTATGTAAAGAAAAATATGAGAAAAGGTATGAAATCCATGTGGATTGCTAGATCATGTTGTAATAACTCCCAAGGACCCTATTATGGTCTTGACTTGAAAAATAAAGGGGGAGTTGGCTTTTTGATTGATGCCAAAAGGGGGAGTAGGACTTATTGAAGTTTCTTTGTATGTTGGCATTTTCTAAGGGGGAGTTTTATTTGAACTTATTTGATCAAAGAAATCTTCATTTTGTTTGTCATCATCAAAAAGGGGGAGATTGTAAGGACGGTCCGAGCATAAGGTCCGAGCATAAGGACGGTTCGACCAAAAAGAATGTTTTCGACCGGCTCTCAAAGGATAAAGCCCCCGCTCAGCCGCCGCTTCCAGCAAAAGGCTACACCCCCCTAACTCGACCCAGAGCCCAAGTTCTGGCCGTTATAGAGGCGAAGGGCCTAGGGGGGCGGCCACCTAAGATGGGGACACCCCGGAACAAGAGGAACCAGGACCGGTACTGTTCCATCCACCGTGACGTTGGGCATGATACGGAGGGGTGCTGGGCCCTGCAAAAGGAGATAGAGGATTTGATCCAACGCTGCTTCTTGGGGCGATTCGTGCAGCAAGGTCGACCGGGCCTGGGGCCAGGACGCGCCTACCGCGGTGACCGCGGGGAGGCCCAGCGCCGCGACCGCCCTGAGCGCCGTGACTTGCCCCGGGCCGACTAACCCAACCCGGACACCCAGAATCTGGCGGGGGTGATAAACACCATCGCTGGGGGCCCTACGGGGGGGACAGCCATGCAGCCAGGAAGAACCGGCGACCTCCCCCCGAGGGGGATGACTCCCTGAAACGTCTGCGCATGGACGAGGATATCATCTTCGGACCGAGAGACGCGGTTCCCCTGGCGTCTGGTAACCACGAGGCCATCGTGATAGACGTCGTGACCAATAATTATCGGGTGAAAAAGGTGTACGTCGACCAGGGGAGCGCGGTGGACATCCTGTTCTACCGGGTGTTCAAGGAGCTCGGCTTGGAGGACGGACAGCTCACCCCAGTTCGGACACCCCTGGTGGGCTTTACCGGACCGCCCATCACTCCGGAGGGGATGATCACCCTGATGGTTACCGTAGGGCAGGCACCCAAGTGCTGGACCATCTCTGTCAATTTCGTGGTGGTCAAGCAACCATCCCCGTACAATTTGTTCTTGGGACGGCCCGCCCTGAACGCCCTCCGAGCTATCCCGTCGTCTCTCCATCTCAGCGTCAAATTTCCCACCCCGGGAGGAATAGCTGAGGTGCATGGAGACCTAGAGGTGGCCCAAGCTTGCTACCTGGCCAAGCTCCGGGGACATGAGCAGGTGGTCGCCCAAACGACCAGCTTGGAGCCTTACATCCCAAGGGAGGAGGCCCAGCAATCGGGCACCCAGGACGAGATTGAGGAGTTCCCGCTGAGAGAGGACAGGCCTGACCGGGTCCTCCGCGTCGGTGCGTCGCTACCCCCCAAAGAGAAGAATGACTTGAAGGCTCTACTAAGGGAGTACGCCCAGGTCTACGCGTGGACAGTAGAGGACATGCCTGGGATTCCGACTGACCTAGCTGTCCACCACCTCAACATAGATCCCTGCTTCAAGCCAGTGAAGCAGAAGAAGAGGAACTTTGCTCCAGAGAGGAATGAAGTGATCAGGAAGGAGGTCGGTAAGCTGCTGGAATCCAAAATCATCCAGGAGGTCTACTACCCGACCTGGCTAGCCATCCCTGTCCTGGTGAAGAAGGAGGACCAGTCCTGGAGGATGTGCGTGGACTTTACAGATCTAAATAAAGCCTGCCCGAAGGACTGCTTCCCCTTGCCGAGGATTGACAGGTTAGTAGATGCTACTGTTGGTTTTGACGTTTTGTATTTCCTGGATGCTTTCAAGGGATACCACCAGATAGAGATGGCCGAGGAGGATCGGGAAAAGACTTCCTTCATCACCGAGGAAAGAATTTACTGCTACCGGATCATGCCGTTCGGACTGAAGAACGCCGGAGCTACCTACCAACGTCTGGTCAACAAGCTGTTCCAGAATCAGATCGGCAGGAGTATGGAGGTCTACGTGGACGATATGATCGTCAAGAGCCGAACTGATCAGCAGCTCGTTCCCGACCTGAGGGAAATCTTGAACATTCTGCGAGAAAGCCGGATGCGGCTGAACCCAAAAAAGTGTACTTTCGGGGTTAGGTCGGGAAAGTTCCTGGGCTTCCTGGTCTCCCGGGAAGGGATCCGGGCCAATCCGGACAAGCTCCAGGCCATCATGGACATGGCCCCACCGAAGAGCGTCAAAGAGGTCCAACGGCTCGCGGGGAGGATGGCCGCCCTGAATAGATTCCTCTCACGCTCCGCGATGAGGGGCTACCCTTCTTCCGGATCCTGAAAGCGCCAAAGGACTTTCAATGGACAGAGGAGTGCCAGAAAGCCTTCACCGACCTGAAAGCATACTTGGCCGAGCTGCCTGCTTTGACTGCCCCGGAGCAGGGGAGACTCTGTTCCTATACCTGTCTGCTTGCAACGAGGCCGTTAGCGCGGTTTTGGTGCGGGAGGACAAGGGGGCTCAAATGCCGATATACTACGTTAGCCGAGCCTTAGAAGGGCCGGAGACGCGGTACACACCGGCGGAAAAGTTGGTTCTCGTTTTGGTGCACGCCGCCCGGAAGCTCCGACCTTACTTCCAGGCCCACAGCATTACTGTCCTGACGGACCAACCCTTGCGGCAGATACTCACGAAACCTGAAATCTCGGGCAGAATGACCAAATGGGCCGTCGAGCTGGCCGAGCACGACATCGGCTACCAGCCTCGCACCTCTATCAAAGCCCAGGCCCTGACAGACTTTCTCGCCGAGGGAACCAGTTTACCCGTGTCTGAGCCGAGCTCTATGCCCGAGGCGGCGCGGCCGGAAGAGCCGTGGGTACTATTTGTTGACGGGGCTTCAAGTAAGGAAGGAAGCGGAACCGGCCTGCTACTTACCTCGCCCACCGGGGAGGAGCTGACCTACGCATTTAGATTTGACTTCCCGGCATCCAACAACGAGGCTGAGTACGAGACCCTATTGACGGGATTACGGATAGCCCACCAGATGGGTGTAACCGCGATCAGGGTCCGGAGTGACTCTCAGCTTGTAGTTTACCAAGTCCGCGGGGAGTACGAGGCCAAGGAGGATGTCATGAAGAAGTATTTGGCCAAAGTGCAGGAGGCGATAAAACTGTTCGACATCTTAGAGATTGATCGGGTGCCAAGGTCACAGAACAAGCGGGGGCGGACGCCCTATCAAAGCTGGCGTCCTCCTCTTTCGCCCATCTGAGCAAGGAAGTTTTGGTGGAGGTGGTCAAACAAAAAAGCATTGACCCGGTACGGGTCTTGGCCATAGACAGCCCGGCCACTTGGATAACTCCTCTTGTGGACTTCCTCAGCTCGGGTGTCCTCCCCAAGGTTAAAACCGAGACTCGCCGACTCCAACTCCGAGCTGCTAAATACGCCTACGCTGGGAACATCCTGTACCGGAGGTCGTATTTGTCTCCCTGGCTAAAGTGCGTAACCCCCGATGAGGGCGACTATGTCCTCCGAGAAGTGCATGAAGGCCTGTGTGCGGCACACGTAGGGTCCCGAGTGTTGGCCAAAACATGCCTGCTCCTAGGCTACTACTGGCCCTCGGTGTTTCGGGATGCCTCAGCCCTTGTTCAGAAATGCCGAGCTTGCCAGGTGCACGCCCCGCTGCGCCATCAACCCACTCAAGAGATGGTCCCCATCCATAGTTCTTGGCCCTTTGCCCAGTGGGGGATTGACCTCTTGGGTCCATTCTTCCGAGCTCCTGGAAGGTACGAACACCTCGTGGTGGCCATCGACTACTTCACAAAGTGGATGGAGGCCGAACCCCTGGTCTCGATCTCCGGAAGGGCGATTCAAAAATTTTTCTGGAAGAACATAGTCTGCCGCTTCGGGATTCTGCATGTCTTGATATCCGATAACGGGCGACAGTTTGCTGAAAATACCTTCAAAAGCTGGTGCGCTGAGCTCGAGATCAGCCAACACTTCACCTCGGTCGGGCACCCCCAGGCCAACGGTCAGGTGGAGAATGTTAACCGAACCATTCTGCAGGGGCTCAAGACTAGGTTGGAACTAGCCCAGTCTAACTGGCTAGATGAACTCCCTAGTGTCCTCTGGGCTTACCGCACTACGCCGAGGACAGCCACCCAAGAGACTCCGTTTTCCCTGACCTATGGGACGGAGGCGGTGGTGCCCGCGGAGATCGGCCTCCCCTCGCTTCGGACACAAAACTTCGTTGCGACAGCCAATGAGGAGGAGCTGAGGTGCAACTTGGACCTGCTGGAGGCCAAGCGTGAGGAAGCGGCGATACGAATGGCTAAATATAAAAGTCAACTCACCCGCTACCACAACGCAAGGGTGAGGAGTACGCAGTACCAGCCAGGAGATCTCGTCCTAAGAAAGAACTCAGTCAGCCCAACTCATAGCTCCAACAAACTTGACCCGAACTGGGAGGGGCCATATAAGATCTTAGAGTCAAGCCGGGTTGAGTACTGTAGGCTTGCGAGATTAGACGGAACAGAGGTACCCCGCACTTGGCACTTCTCAAATTTGCGGTTGTTCATAGGATAAGCTAGTCCAGGGTATTTTACTGTATTTTTTGGAATTCTCGTACAAGTTCATCATTGAATAAATGTTGGCTTTCCAAGTTTTAAGTCCCTTCTCGTTATTATTAAATTTCTCACTTCTGCATTAGCACACTCAGATAATCCTAAGTGTCCTAGTGGGGGGCTCGGGGGTGATATGACCGAGATAATGAATTGACGGAGATAATGAACTGACTGCCTTTAAAGTTGGGGCTCAACCCAAGAGGTCGGCATGATTATCTTCAGGATTTTGACGCTCGACCCGGGAGGTCGGTGGCAAGGGGACAAATCGGAATAACGAATCGACGGAAAGCCCTCAAAGTCTGAAAATTGATGCTCGATCCAAGAGGTCGGCAGGGCATAAACCCTTACAATCTGACGCTCGGCCCAAGAGGTCGGCATGACTGCCTTTAAAATTCCGTCGCTCGACCCAGGAGGTCGGCGCAACTCAAAAACCTTAGGGCTCGATGCTCGACCCAAGAGGCCGGTACGCCGCTTCAGTAGATCAGATTTGACGTTCGATCCTAGAGGTCGGCGTAGCTTGTAGCCTAGATGTTTTGTGTTCGATCCGGGAGGTCGGCGCATCACTCCGGTTATTTGGAATTCAACTGCCAAATCAGCCTGATGGTTTGATGGTTTGGTGTCCCTGACAACTTAGCCGTTAGTTTAAAGGACGATAGATGCTCGACCCAAGAGGTCGGCACGCCGCCTGGGTGGATCTATTTGGTGCTCGATCCGGAAGGTCGGTGTTCCTTTTTGGTTACTAGAGTTCACCGCTAACAAGGGAATTGAAAGACAAGTCAGATGGTTTCATTTAAACTTCATCTCATATATACATTCAGACCCTATCTATTACAAAGCCTACCGAGCTATACAAGGAAAGGAAAACCTAACTATGCCTTCTTCTTGCTGGCGATCTGCTTGAGGTGGGAGATGAAGGTACACCTTAAACTTGTTGAGAGGTGGGAGCTGAAGGTACACCTTAAGCATGTTGAGGGGGCGTGTGGAGAAGGCTGTTAAAAAGGATCTGTGGAGATCATGAACTGCGGGGCAGGGTCACATCCTTATCAGAGGATGGAAAGGGTTTCTGGAGTGACCGCTGCCCTAAACCACTGGCTCCTTCCCGGAAGCCCTGCCAGGAGTCTGCTCCTCCTCCAGGGAAAGCTCCGCCAGCTCGGTCCCCACATCGCTCCTGCCCACCAGGTCCTTCAGGGCATGCCCTTTGCAGTACTCGTCGAAGAGCCAGTCCAGCTTCTCCTCGGCTGCGGGTTGTAGTCTTTGAAGTTAGCCAAATTGAAGCCAGGTGGGTTGAGGCTCTTCACCTGGTTCAAGGCCCGCGTGGCGGCGATCTGGAAGATGGGCTGGTTGAGGAGGGCCACGTCCTCGGCAAATCGTTCGGAGAAGATGAAATCCCGAACATCCTTCTTGCGCTCCCGGATGACGGTGCCGGAGAGCTCAATGGCGTGGTCCTCCCTCAACTTCGCCACGCCCTTCTTCTCCTGGTCCAGCTCAGACCGAGTGGCGGCGAGTTGGACTTGGGCCTCCTCCAGCCCCGATTGGCCTTAAGGGAGCCTGCCTTCTTAAGGGTCTGGGCAAGCTTCTGCTCGGCTTCCCGATTCTTCTTTTGTAATTTCTCCAAATCGGGAGACAGCTCGGAGAAGCGGGTCACCAGGGCGGCACCGGCGGCATGGGCCTAGGGAGAGGAAAGTAAACATTAGCACTTCGTCAAGGAAAAGAACAGAAACCCAAGGGGCGTACACGTCCTGGAACTCGGACGGGCTGGCCAGTTCCATCCACTTTCTGTCACGTGGAAGGACTGATCTCGCCACCCACTCGCGAGGCACCTCGGAAAACTGGGCTCGGTCATTGAGGGAGAGCTCCCAGGACGGGCAGAAGCGACGGGGGTCGTGCATGGTGGGGGCTTGTCCCGGCTTCACGGGAGCCACGTGGCGGAAGTGCCACAAGCTCGGAGGAGTGCTCTCCCGCGCGTGCTCCTCCGCAGAGCCAACCCCCAAGTGGACAGGGCCCCCCGTCGTCAGTTGGAGAGGGCGCTGTGCTGAGGCCTGCGTCGGCTTCTTGCCGGGCTGAGCAGGCTCGTCCTCTCGACCCCTCTTCTGCCCCGCCGCCTTCTTTTTGCCGGCGACCTGCTTGGAGGGGGACTGAGACTGGGAGGCCTCCTTCAGGGGGGCCGAGCTGCCCCCAGGTGTCGCAGAGGCCTCCGGGGCCTTCTTCGCCGTCTCCGGCTGCGTGGTAGGGTGGGCCTGCTCGGTGGGCGCGCCCAGTAGCCTTGAGAGCTTTCTCACTGCAGCAAAACACCGCTAGGTCAGTAAAAAGGTCAGTAACAGAAGGGAAGATGAAGCAACAGATAACAAAGGAACATGTGCAGTATTACAGGTCTCTTGGTCGGCGGGGGAGAACGCCACTTTTCCAGGGGACCCGGACAACGTCCCCACTTTTCCAGGGGACCCGGACAACAGCTCGGCCGCGAAAATCTGCTCGGTGGAGAACTTGGCTGCGTACAGCTTCACCGCAGAGCCCAGCAGCTGGCCGAATGCCTCAGGGTCCAGGTCCTCTGGACAGGGGTTGTCCCCGACCCTCCCAACCTTCCACGCATTGGGAGGAAAGTGGGCGGTTTTAACGAAAAAGAAGTCCCCCTTCCAGTTTTTTAGGAAAGAGGGGACCCCGTAGAGAAGATCCTGGGTGCCCTTCCAGCCGCGATTGCTGGCGGACCGGCGGGAGAAGTAGTACCACCCAGGGAGAGAAGCCTTGAGGGCGTAGGAAGCACGGAAGAGAGAGAGAGAGTAGGGGATGGAGCAGATCTGACAGTAGATCAGGAATTCGAGGATGATCCTGATCGAGTTAGGGTGGACCTGGATGATCCTGAGCCCCCAGTAGCTCAGGATCTCGGCCAGGGCCGGAGGAATGGGGAGTCAGAGCCCCACGACCAGTTGCTCTTTGTAAATGGCTACAAAGTCCGGGGGAGGTCGGCAGGATCGATCGGTGGGTCCGGCGGCTCACGGCTCGAAGGCCGGAGGGATGGAGAAAGAAGCGGCCAGCTCGGCCACCGCCCCGGGTGAGAGGGTGATCTCCTCCCGATCGGGGTGACCGTAGTTAAACTCAGAGTCATCCCCCTGCTCGGAAGCATGGGTCCCCTCGGAGGAGTCCCTGTCCTCCCTGAGCTCCGCCAGGGGAGTCATGTGGAGACTTGGGAGAGGGGATAGAAGTGGCTTGCTGCTCGATGAGGGCATCGAGCTCGGCCACCTCCTCCAGGAGTCGGGCAGAAGGAGAATGGGCGGATGGTGAGCTCATGATGTCGATGGGCTCTAACAAGTCAGGAATGAGGAAATTGGGATTGGAAGCAGAGGAAGAAGAAGGAGGAGGAGGAGAAGATGAAGATGAAGATGAAGACGAGGAGGAGATGAAGATTCTGGGGGCTCTACGACGGACCGGAATCTGGGATGCGGTGGAAGTGACGCCGGAATGATCCGACATAAAATGCAGAAGGTGGTTAAAGGAGAAGAGGAAATGTGAAAGAGGAGGGGAAAGAACTTACTGATGATCGAAGTGAAAAAAGGATGGAGAAGTCGACGGAATCTGGGTCCTGGAAGTCGGAAGCCTTGTTGTTGGAGAATTGAAAATGCACGAAGGAAGGAAAAATGGCAAATAGAGTCTGAGAGAGTTTGGGAGTCCCTTTTTATAGGGGGAAGAATGGGGGGAAACGGTTGCTTGAATTTGAACCGCCCCATGTGAACGCATTTAAGAGCGGTACGGAGACCGAGGGGACGCGACAACTGAAAGGACGCGGACGCCATTTCCCAATGACAGCACTGTACCGGAGGTGACCGCGACAGAGCAGTGCGACGATGGGCTCCCACGTGGCAAGGGAATAGATCAGGTCTGTTTGGAAGCCCTACCTAATCTAGGGGGCTAGTGCAGAGGCCCCGTCCTGGGCCTGTACACGTGGCAGCTCAGGGAGCTCCGAGTTGGGCTTAGACCCTGGGCCCATGTGAACTGTCCTGCGAGCACTCCGCCGCTAGGGCTCTAAGGGGCTCCAGAGAACAATCCCGCATAGGTCGGGATTATTCTCCCCTCAGAGCGGGATTGAGGCTATTCTGGGCAAGTCCCGAAACGTACGGAGGTCGGGCTCCTAAGCAGGTATAAATGGTAACGCACAGTGACTGCGCAAGGTACGTTCACTATTGGACGATTACTCCCGACCGTTCTACTTCCCGTGAACCCCACTCACCGGAAAACTAACTTGACCGTCGGAGTGCCCTCGGGGACAACCTCAGGGCCCCTGTTAGTTCACTCTCTTATTTGTCTTTCAGGCTTAGGACGCGCTCTTTCCATCAGCAAGCCGAGCTCATCAGCTCAGCTCGGTCCGGGGAAGTTCCGTGCTTCTTCAGACACAAATTCAAATGTTTAATTCCAATAAAATCAAACCCAACAAGTGAATTTTCCCTTTTTTTTAGGCACCTTGAGTGAATTTGCATAAACTAGTAGTGAGTTTAAATAACTTTGCCCGCTAAGGGCTATACACGATCAAGTGATCATACGTTGTGCAAAAATAAATGCAAAAGATCATAAAAGTAATAGCAAATGTACACTTTATTAAATTAACACATCAATTGTGTGCGTGTATTTTTTTTTTCAGTTGTAAGATGCCTGTATTACTTACAATTGATTGTTGAAGTCTTTCTTTGGAAAAACCAAAAAAACAAAAACAAAAACAAAAAGAATGAAGAAAGATAAGAGCTTTGTTTCACAACTTTGGGTGGGTGGACTGAGTTTGGTCAAGCTTTGTTATGCAATGAGGGTGGAAAAAGTTTACAGCTGGTTCTTCAGAATTTGGGACGTACCAACTCTTACAAACATCGGATTACAAATGTTCCTTCTTCACTCACGTTAAACTTCAGGATGCAAAAGTAAACAATCAAAACACTAAACTATATTCATAGAACAGACATGCATGGTTGATAGGTTGCAATTTTATCATTTATTTTATTATTAATTTTCCCTATTACCTGACCCGATGTGGATTAATTGTTAGATTCTACTCACTTTTCATATTTTGCATTTATTCCAGGGAGTAGAACAAAAATATCACAATCAAAGCCAATTTGACAGTCATCGGGAAAGAATTCAAATGAAAGGTCTTCAGGGGTATTTTTGGAACAAGGAGACACAAGTCCTTTTTGGTAATTTACAGAAGATAGAATAAAAGGAGGAAAGAAACGAAGGGCTGAGTCTTCTTCTTCCTCTGCGGAAGGAGTGCCGCCGCGCAGAGCTTCTCAAAAGAGGCCTTAGATAGGAATTAGATTAAGCATTAAAAGAAGAAAAGGATAGATAGCAGACGATGGAGACTTTCTTGGGGTGTTCTTCTTCCTTTTTGACTTTTCCTCTTTTCGTCTTATTGTGCCTTTGTTTCCAGCGGATGTGGAGGCAAAGGAAAGCAATTGGGTATTCTTTGTAGCCTTTGACTTTTCCTTTCATCTTCAGTTGTTTTTCTTTTCTTTTCGGTAGGAGTAGACAAGGGATGAACTAAATTCCTTTGTCTAGTCAAGGAACAACGGAGGCTTTGGCTCGCCTGAAATTGTGAGATCGATTTAATTTTATCTTTTCTTATTATTGGTATTTGCATATTTCCTGATTCCAGTGTTTATGGTTATTTAATTAATTGATTGTCTTGGATCCGGATAATTAGTTAATTTGATGATCTATTATCAATTGGGACGTTAAATCCGTAATTGTTTAATTGTCTCAAAATAGTGATAACTGGCATGATTGGGTTTGTGTTAGGGGGATATGCGGGCTAATCTGAAATAACCCTGGTAGTGTGTTATTTGGTTAGAATAGGGCTCCTCTAATACGTAAGATAATTGGGGAATTAAATTCTACGGGCGTACCTAGGATTATTCCTCAATTAGAATAGTGATTAACGGGCGTACCTTGATCACCGACACAGTAAGGAGGGGTTGACTGCCATCGCTTGTTTGGTAGTTATAACCTATTTATTGATAAATAATTGGAATTGCCTTTGCTTCAATGATCAATTAGGTGCGTCATTGCTGAAGTTATTTCTTGGCTAGATTCTTAATTATCCCTCATTTGATTTTAATAAATTGTTATTTAATTTCTAGTTGGCTATTTTATTTTTATTATTTTACTTTTAGTTGAATTGCTTAAATTGTCACCCCTGATATAAAAACACCCCCTTGTCACTGTGAACTTGAAAAGAAATAATTACTCCCAATCCCTGTGGATTCGACCCTGATCACCGCTATCTACAAAAATCACTTTTAGTTTGAGCAGGTTTTATTATTGCACAGGTTTCGACACCCTGTCAATTTTTGTGTCACAGACGTTAACTGCTCAAGGGAAGTACAATCATTTTACAAAATGTTGCTATAGCTATATAAATGGCACATAGCATTGCTTAAATCCCAAGTCCTTGCCAAAAAAAAGTGGCTTACTAGTCTCATTTGAATTGCTATTTTTTGAAATTTTTGTAAAAAAACAAAAATTATTATAGTTGTTACCATAATTACTATAGTCCAAATTCATTGTATTATAGTCTAGATTCATTGTACATTTTACCACAAGTCTAGATTCATATGTACAATAGTTGAGCTAGGTACATTATGTGCAGTGTTTAGATTCATAAATAGTTACCTGTAAATAGGTCTCTCTTGTACAG